GAGTGTGGGGGGGGGGGGGGGAACTGGCTTTTAAGCCTGCTCTCCCCAGCACCAGCTCCTGTTCCCCTCCCCTTGCTACCTCTGATAGAGGCATCTGCACAAGCCAGGAATCAGCTGTCCCAGCTCATGCTGGGTCCCTCCTGCTGCGCTTTAGCAGGAGGCAGAGAGGCAGGGGGTTAGCTCCTGGGCAGGAGTTAACCCCCCTGTGGCTCCTCCCACTTATCAATGGAAAATCCATTGACTAGTCGATTAGTTGATTAAACTAAATGTAACATCCCTAGTGTAAACATCCCCAGAGATCAAATTATAAAGTTTTGCTACACATAAAACCACAGCCCAGGAGAAGGAGTACACTCTGTATCGCTGTTACTAGTTTGTAAGCACCTACTGGTACCTTTTAACTAGCTTTTGGAATTAGACTTTATTCTCCAATTAATGTACTATAAAAAAAGACTCAGGCTGGGGCGGGGCAAGGGGGAGGGGAGAGGAATGCAATAGCCAATCTTAAAAAATGTGATTTTAACTAAATTGTCAGCTAACCAACCAACAGATTATTTTTCTTATTTTACATCAGTTGGCATACACAACACAGGGAAGGAAGAATTTCTAATACATAGTAAAGCTGGCTCTGTGACATCATCTGAAACTAACTAACAATTAAAAATATAAACCTGGATTTTCCAGGGAGTCAAAGTTAGATGACCAACTTTCATTGTATTTTAACCAGATGTAGACACAATTCCCTTTAACATCTTTGAAAATCCTAGTGAAATATCATGGTAGCATAATATTGCAGCCTACAAGGAAGCACTAGCCCAGCCTTTTTTATTTTCATTCTTAAAGGTAGCCTCCAAAGAAAGTAAATGTGTTTGTGCCCTTTGCCCCTCCTTTTTGTGTACAAAATGGCATGAAACTTTTTATTGCTGTAGTTTTTCATATCAAGTTTTGTCTCTCTTGTTTTCTTGTTGACTTAGTAGAGAACTACAGGACTGAAGTGGGAGGTTCCTCAGCCCTTGGTTACTAAGCTTTCCTCCCCTGTTCCAGCGATCACAGTTAAATGAAAGTTATCAACCCCACCAATCAATTTGAAGGAAAATATCTTCTCCTTACAATTGTTTATGCTTCATACTATTCTGATGTTAGAATTCAAAACCTACCAAGAAATCCTCAAGCAAAAATATGCCCTATAATTTCTAATAAAAAAGAAGAGAAAATAACTTTTCCCACAGGAGACAAAGTAGAAATCTCCTTAGTGCATAAAAACAGTAAAATGATTTTTTTCTTTAATTTGCCAGTCTCCTGTAAATTAAGGTTTCATGGATATCCCTGATGGATCAGATTGTTTCAATACATCAGCAAAAGGTCTAGCTCTGGAAGAATGAAAATTGCTGCACACATTTATCTTCCTGTGAAAAGTAATTCTTTGAAAAGTTATACATTCTAAACCAACCAAATCTAAATCTCTGGAAGGTATTAAACCCAGGATCCTAGTCAGTCAGAGAGATCACTAAGACAAATTATGTTACTAGTTTGTATTCATTCATTGATTAAAATGAAGGTTAATTTTAGTGCTGGGTGTTTTAGAAAAACATGTCCTATCTTATTAATATCAATGCTGAAATGAGTTTTAGCCTCAAAAAGAGCATAAAGAATTGCATATTATTTAATGTTCCTTGAAGTGCTTATTCCCATAAGGTGCGTCTACACTGCATCCATAGCTCAAAATAAACTATGTAATTTGAGCTATGCAAATTGCATAACTTATTTCAAGTCAATTTTGAAATAGCTTATTTTGTCATTTGACGCTGTCTACAGAGTGCTAAATTTTGAAATAACCTACTATTCCAAAACGTCCCTTACTCCTTGTGGAACGAGATTTACAGGGATGTTGGAATAGCAAGCTCTTTATATTTTGAAATAACGGGCGCACTGTTAAGATATGGGACAGCTATTTTGGGATACCTCTGGTATCCAAAATTGTGCTGCTGTGTAGACTTAGCCATAGATGCCAGTACAATCTGAAGATACAGTTTCTGCTTTACTTTCTACTGGTTTTTAAAAAGTATTTCTTCAATTTTTGACAGAAGCACAAAGCAGCTAAGTCTGCAGGGGAGGCCAAATTTATTGACCTTATGAGTTGCATATGATAATCTTCAGAAAGTCTAGAGCTGGACGCACTTGACCAGGCTTCTGCTCTGCAGTAACTGGGTCTTGGGACTTCAGTCCTACAGGAGACACCTGCTGGGGCTTGATGCTTCCGCCCCATTCCCAACTCTGGTATGTGGAGAATGGTGGGAGGGATATGCCAGGCTTCATGAGCTACACTTTAATTGTGAAATGTGGCTTGGAAGCTGGTTTGATCATACCTAAGCAAAGCTATCATTACCCCTTAGCTTAGTCTCAAACTAACACTTTAGACACCTTCAGTTTAGTTTCTCTGAAGATGACTCATCTACAATTTTGAAATGTGGAAAGGCCGTAATCAAATCCCAGCTATAAAGTATAAATATCTTTTCTAGAGCCCAGCAAAAGCTTTAGGCCCAATGAGGCTATGTTTACACTGCAGGCTTTTGCCAGCAGAAAGTATGCTAATGAAGCGCTCACTAGCATTTGTCACATTGTCATTTGCATATCTCTTCCTATGCTTTTTGCACAAGAGGTTTTTGTGCAAAAACAAGCAGTGTAGATCGGTCTGTTCTGCACAAAAAAAACCCAAACCTTTTGCGCAAGATCCTGTATGCCTGCTTTTTTGAGGCATAAGGGATCTAGCACAAAAGGTGGGTTTTTTTGTGCAAAATGGACCCATCTACACAGCTTGTTTTTGCTCAAAAAGCATTAGCAGAAATATGCAAATGACAGACACAAATGCTAATGAGCACTTCATTAGCATACTTTGTGCCAGAAAAAGCCTGCAGTGTAGACGTAGGATTAGAGTCAAAAAAGGTATAACATAAAATTGCATAGGCGTGGGAAGTAGGGTGTGTGGGGAAGGTGCTGCAGCACCCCCTGGCATTGTGCCTAGCATAGCTCTGCACCAGACTCCCAGCCACAAGCTCTGCCTGGGAGCCCCCATTAGCAAGGGTCCTGCCGACTGCTTCTTGCCAGAGGCACAGACAGGGATAAAAGAGCTTAGAGAAGGCTCAGCACTCCACCCTAAAAACTGTTCTAGCACCACTGTAAAATGGCAGCTTCTTACTCAATAGATTTGTGCTGTATCAGAATAAATCAGTCAGTCTTCTCTGTTTTACACATCTGCAAAGCAAATAAAGGTGGGATAGTAAGATGGATTTTAGTTCACGTGTCACCAACTGCATTCCAGTTGCAGAATCTGTTACTGATAATGCAGGAGCAGGACTTGACTTTGCTCCCTAAGAGCTAGATCAACCTACAAGCACTGGGCTACCCCAAGAGCCCAGTAGGGACCATAATCTTCAGACTAGGGGGTTGAAGGAGAAAAATCAACATCCAGATTTCACCTGCACAGAATGGGAAGTTTCAACCCTGCAGTATCATCTCTCCCCCAGCACACACCAACCAATGACATGGGTAGCCTATATAGATGAATAAGGTATTTGTTACCTTAGGCCATGTCTACACATACAGAATTGCACCTGTACTGCTACTGCTGCAGTGCATCTGGTGAAGATGTTTTGTGTCAAAAGGAGTTCTTCTGTTGGCATTAAAAAACAAAAACAAACAAAAAAAACAAATCCAAGAGCAGTATAAGCTATGTTGGTGAGAAGCTCTCCTGCTGCCAGCAATGTGCACAGTAGCACTTATGGTGATGTAACAAACTATTTCCAAATAAACCACTCCTTCCAAGATGTAGTCCTATGGCACCTTAGCCCTAATCTACACAAGCAGAGCATCCACATTACCAAGCCATTATTTCAAAATAATGGGCTGGTTATTGAAAAATAACTCCTGCTTTCCACAAGGAATAACTAATTTTGAAATAGTTATTTCAAAATAGCATTAGTGTGGACGCTTCACTGCTGCTATTTCAAAATAACTACTCCCCAGAATCATTCAAAGTAATTACTCTCAGTGCTTCTAAGTCAAAGTAGCTCATCCATATTGAGGGAGCCTGCCTCAGACTAATTTTGTGGCTTCCCCATAGTGTGGACGCTATTTTGAAATAGTTATTTTGGGAACTTATTTTTAAATAATTATTTCAAAATAATTTCCTACTTGACATGCCCTTAGAGACTTTCAAAAATATACAGTATGAGCTTTGGTGGGTAAGACCCACTTTATCATGTATATCTTGGGTTCTGTTATTTCCACTCCAATTCATCTGAAGTAGGTCTTACACACCAAAACTCATACTATATATTTTTGTTAGTCTCTAAGATACCACAGGACTATTCATATTTAAAGTTACAGACTAACACGGCTATCCCTCCAGCACTCCTTACAATATCATTCTTGATCCTCTGTGTCATTCTGGTGGCCTTATTCATACATTTGCGTGTATAACCTCAACTGTATTTTGTGCCCCTTCTTGTAATTATCCATTTGAATGAACTATAAATTGTAAATGAAAGGAGACAGGAGCTGAATTAACTTATTGTGCTTCATTGCTAGTTCTTGTTTATTACTTTGTATCCTAATCTCCTCAGTAAACTGACATTCTATTTCCATTTACTGCTTCACAAAACACCCAGAAGGGTAAGTAATGATTCATGATGACATCATGATACACCTCCCTTCTGATGCTCAGGTTCAATTAAGTGTCCCATTGTACATTCATAAGTAAAAGCTGAAGCAGAGCATGCAAATAAAGTCATGTGGCATTTCAAAATTTAAGAAAGTTGGCAGCACATGTTTCAAGTCGCATCAATTTTCCATTAAAGTGAGAGTCTGGCTACAATAAGAACATGCCACTTTTTGAAAAAATAAGGCAGTTTTATCATTCCCTGAAAAATCTTGCTCACGTTTGTTTGACTTCAGACAGTTTAGCCATATAAAAATCCTTTCAGTGATATAATTGAAGAAACTTACATTAATCAAGTATTAGAAGCTAAAAAGCACCAAGTGATGTCTTCTAAATAATATCTGTGGAGAGGCAAATCTCATGATCCAGTTTAAATGTTGATTTATGTATTGACAGTTATACCTCAAAGAGATTAAATTAAAGTAGTTCTTACACATTTGTTTATAATTTTCTGGGGAGCTCTGCTCCACAAAAAATGCAAACAATATTCACATTTGATTTCATCTTTAGAGAAATGACCATAATTTTACTTAAAACCTCTCAGAAAATGGTATATACAGGGATTTATTGGGATTATATTTTCTCCCCTTCACATCAGATGCTTCTTGCTTAACTTTAGAGGCCTTTACTCAAAGTACAGTTATGTTTTGTATCCACACTCATGGCTCACAACCACCTATTATCTACCCAAATTATTTTAAGTGAGAAAACAGATGTACTGAAAAAGAATGGAAGAGCTGCAATTCCATAATCCACTGATTGTGATGCATGCTCTTAGGATGGCAGTGAGTTAGTCAAATCATCACTGCCCTTTACAGCAGCATAATTCTTTCCTTCATAATATATCAAATAGTACATTTTCACCTAGTTAGGCCTCAGCTGGAGTACTGTGTCCAGTTTTGGTCACAAATGCATAGAAAGGATGTGGAGATATTGGAAAGGATCCATACATCAGCAACAAAAATGATCAAAGGGACAGAATGCAAGACACACTAGTAAAGGCTGAAGGAACTGGATGTGTTTACTTTGGAAAAGAGGAGACTGAAGGAGGAGGCAGGATAGTGGTCTCTTCAAATACTTGAAAGGCTGACAAAGATGGAGCAAAGTTGTTCTCTTGTCACGGGACAAGAGGCAATGGGTTTAAATACAGCATAGCAGATTTAGCTTAAATCTAGCAGTAGGACAAAGTAAAGACTACTTAGAGGTAGAGGAAGCTCTTTTGCTGGAGGTTTTGAAAAGGAGGCTAGATAGCCATGTCTTCCATGGTTTAGACACAACCAACCCTGATTCTTGGCAGGATTGACTAGATGATCCTTGCAATCCCGTCTACCATTCTAGGATTCCACCAGTTACACAGCCTAATTACACAAGATGTACCAATTACCACTGTAAAACCAAATGCACCTGCCATCAGTTATTTGTAGGTCATTAAAAAAATCTAAAATTATAGAGATGGAGATTGTGAATGTACTGAAAACCAAGAGTACAGAACAGCCTGTATTTACAGTGGAAACATCCACTGGGATCAGGTGAACATACAAAAAAAGTATCTGGCAGTTACAGAGCAGGGGGCATTGGATTAACCTAATTTTTTTCAATCAATTAATAGTCCCCATGGACAGGTGACATGTGATACAGCTGCAGCTGTCTATAGTTTGATTTTTTTTTAAATTGGTGAAAATCAGAAGTACACCTAAGCAAGCATTTTAGACAACTTATATTGGTGTGGTGCAAATAACAGACAGGTGTTATGAGACCAAGTACTAGATTAGAAAGTAGTTTTTGTTCTTGATATTACATGCACAAGATTTGTGTGGTCTGTATTAGGAGAGTAATTCACCCAGGAGTGTGCGTCATGACCACCAGGTGTTACATAACACACGCACAAGTTCTTGTGAACTTAAAATTCGAAATAGATTGTTTCTTTCCTATCTCACTGAACAGTCTTTGAGCAAATTGACTATATACACTACTACTATGCTTCTCTTATGATACTAGCCAAAAGTTCTAAATATTTTAAAAAGTTGCAGCAAGTTGAACAAATATTCTGCCTCAGGTGTTTGGTTCAGAACATCACATGACTTATGTGGGATCAGTTCATTTTGAGCTGCCTGATAACTAGATAGCAATCTACTCTACACACATAAACATTGTGTAAATTTTGGCCTCTGAAAACAGCTTCTTTAAATCAAGGTAAGGCTTATTTACTGAAATACTATAATTGTTTCTGTTTGCAGGACAGAATATATAAATAGAAGAGTGAAACAGGATTTCACATTATGAAAATTTTCATTGTGTGTTTATCACATTCAAAAAGCATTGACTGGCCTCTTCGAATTCATTTGTTTTGGAAAAAACCTAGTATAGTTGGAAAGTCAATTAGCATCTAACACACAGATTGCAGCAAGATCCTCAGGAAAGCTGAGACAAAACAATTTGGACAAGCATATGTACTTGTCTCTGGGCGGTTTGTTTTTTAAACACACTAGATATTCAATAGTTACATGAACCAGATAGTGTAACTGAACAAGGTTGGAAGAAACTCATTGTTCTGGGAATCAACTGACTTGTTAGTTGCAAGGCAGCATATTAATCTTCTAAAACGGTATCAATATAGATTCTTTAATTGGTTCAGTCCTTAAACTTAACACTATTTAATTTAACTACACTCAATTTATATTTAAATTTGTATTCTTTATGTCTGCTTTGCTTAGACGGGCAAATGGAAAAACTAGGGATTGGAATTGTTCTGGAATGAAGACAGCCAAATTCTTCACAGGATCGTACAAAGCTGGAACAGGGAAAAAAGACTAACTCAATGGTCAGGTATTGACCAAAACTAGGAAGAAAAATGTAACTCAGATGCATGAAAGTGCCCAATACTGAGCAACAGACATACAAGTGTAGCTAAGAACAGTGGAGATTGGGTTTGATTAGGTTTTGACAGCTGGAAAAATGGTGATTGAAACATTTCCCTACTGTACAAGTCATATTGTCTGTCTGTATTCAAAATCTATGAAACTGAATTTATGAGAAATAATTTGACTAGCTTTACCTAAGACAAAAGCCAGTTTAGGGGGAAACAGATGAATGCTTAAGTCTCAAAATTGGAAACCTAAGTATAGATCAGTAGTACTTTACAGCAAATGAGCTTTTTAAAAATGCTGAATGAGAAAGAATTTACATTTTAAAGGGTGTGTCTCTAAATATCATGTACACAAAAAACTAACACCTAAAATTTTTTCAAAGCTTTTTGAGAAACACACACAAGTAATTCAGATTTAGTCAATTTTATTTACAGTTTTTGTACATTTCAGAGCATTACACAATTACATATTCTCATTTTCTGACCTGCAAACAGATACCTTAAAACGGAAATGTTAAAAAAATGAAGTTAGATACATCCAAAATGCAACAATTACACATCTGACAATTCACAAAGTGTAATTTACTAGGACGTATCCTAAGAATTTAGGAACAATAAGTCAGAAGAAAATCTGACTAATTTTAGCAATCAATTATTTACACATTCAAACAAAACCTCTCTTGCTCTAAACTCCCAGACAAGAGGCCTGGAAGATTTTTCAGTGGAAGAAAGACAGGAAGTTATGATTCACACCTATGCAGCATTAACAGCCCTTGATCCCAAAATACTGAGTAATTTTTCAGCTTTGCCTTTGGGCAACAGGCATCCCCCTCACCTTGTCAGATCCTGAAGTGTAGTACTTGTGCCCCCATTGTGCATAGAAAGGCTGAGTGTTTGGGGAAAAAAAGTGGTCAACAAGACCCTGTTTAATCTGGCCTTTAAATTCTGTTTAAAGGGTTTTGTTAAATTGGTTTCCAACATGATTTAAATTGGTCAGTGTTGATGGAACCAAGCATGTTTTTTAAACGTGGTTTGAACTCACTTTGGCCCAACTCGTACTGAGCAGCTATATATAGAAGCTACTTAATGCAGAAGTTTTGAAACAAGGTTTGAAGGCCAACCTAAACAGGGCTTAAGTTTCTGCACTTCCTCTGTTGGGCCACCAAGGTCACAGCTATTACTTCCATCCCTTGTTTATTACCCTTTGCCACATAGTGACTAGGTATATACCAGCTAGAAACTACTAAAAATTCCCTGCAAATAAACTGCCTTTCAGCTGAGGCTATGGCTCCTATGCATGGGATATTTGAGGAGTTTAATTTAAAAAAAATGATACTCACTTGAAAAATACTGAAAGTTTTCACTTTAGATTCATTTTAATTGCATTTTCAATATGTTTAGTTTAACTTTTTAAGAAACTGCTACAAATCAAAACAATTTTAATATAAAAAGAGCAGCCAACTGAGTGCAATATTTTGAATTGGCCAAGTCCTTCATGGTAGCTCTCTAACTAGGCTATAAATTTTGAGGAGCCTTCAAATTCTTGCCTACCTTACTTTCCACATTCACGTTTCAAACTGTGTCAGCAGGGCCCGAACTTCGGGAGTCAGCTGCTTAGCAGCCTTAGCTGCCTCTGTGATGGCCTTCCGGTAAAGGCCCTTTCTCTTCTTATTAAAGCGCGACTGAAAGTTTTCTAAAAAGGGGGATAGTTGTGAAAGAGCAAGAAAAGATGTTGTTGGAGACCCAAACCACGAAATGCGGGCCTCCTGTCGGACTAAAAGGCCATTATCTTTCCGGCTCACAGTTATAGTGAGAATACGGGCTGGCCACCAAGGGAAGCCATAAATCTTGGCCCAAACAATGTCCCCTACACATATGGTCCTGCCATCTGGTGTGACACATTTAGAGACGTTTTTGGAAAAGACTTTCATTTTCAAGGAATTACTGAGCTTTTTCTCTTCCTTTGAAGAGGAGGAGGAGGAGGAGGAAGAAGGTGCATGCATGCTGCCTGGAGGAAAATCAAAGCTTTCAGTAGAACTACACTCAGAATTGGTGGATTTCAAATCATCTGTGCTATCACTACTACACACTGATGCACTGGAAGAGTCAGATTTCTTTTGATTAAGGGTCATGTAAACTGTTATATTGCCTTTGCTGCCTCTCTTGCCCAATGTCTGGTGTTCATCCTGATCAACAGTTACATGCACTTCACTTGTGTCCTGAACCTCACTGCTGGCCTCTTCAGAGCCTTTTGAAGGGCTCTTATTTTCTGATGGGGCCTCACCTGCTGAGCGGGTGGAGGAGCAACGAGACTGGGGCTTAGTTGCCATCTTGCCACTCCGTATTTTCTCAAGTCCTGTCTTGAGAGATGAGTCGTTTTCTTCATTACGGTACCTTTGGGGTTTTAAACGCAATCGGGGTGGGAGGGAACCTGAGCTGGTGTTCTGAAGACGCCGCGTGAAGTGGACCTTTGAATGTGCATTTTTGGAAGTGGAAGTTGCACTCTGTTTCTTGTGTGCCTTCTCTTTGGCCATTTTCAAAACTTCCCGAGCTTTTGCATGATCCATGTTTTTGCTCTGGAGAACTTTTTTAGTATTTAACTGAGCTTTTGAAGTGTTTGCTTGGGCAGAAACTTTAACTACTTTGCTTCTGCTATGGGCAACATGTGAAACTTTGACCACAGCATTTCTTTTCTGGCTTTCATTTTGGCTTTTTCCATCTACTTTATGGTCAGTTTTAAGTTTTTTATTCACAGTAGTTACACTCTCATTCCTTCGTTTTTTATGATCCTCATATTTTGAGCAGTCACTTGCATTGCCACTTTTTTTAATTTCTTTTTTTTCTGCAACAACACTGTTTTTACATTTGTCACACAAGACCTGCCTGGGTCGTAATTTGATAGCATTCATAATAGAAGTGGGTTCCTCCCTGTACATTTTCCGCTTGGGCCGCTTAATTTTTCGGGGCGGAGGCTGAGGTATTGCTTGGTTATATGTGTCCCTGATAAACAAAGGGGGAGGATATGGCGCTCCCTCATGGAAGAGGGGAGGTGGTTTAGAAGTCCACAGGCTTTTAGCGAGGCTAGGTTCTGATGGCTGAATGGGAGAAGAGGAGTCATCAGGGACTGCACCACTGGCTTCACACTTAAACTGGGTGTCATCTTGGAATGGTTTACTTTGGAGCTGCATGGCTTCAGGTTTATCCTTGTACTCCCGTTTAGGAAATATGGTCACAGGGATTCCATGAGGTCCAAACCTTTAAAAAAAAAAGTAAGAAAGAATTTGAAGTATCTTCATTATTTACTACACAAACTTTTTTTACAAGATGCCCATGCACATTTTAGCCATCTGTCCAGATCAGTAATGGGCAACCAAGGCTAGTGAGTGGGCCGTATGAGTGGCCCTCCTTATCTCAGTGGGTTACTGAACCATAGCAGTGCTTTAATTGGATGCAGAGGGAACACATGACTTACACCGTTGATTGTATGCAATTAGCACACATCCCACTTCACATGCCCTTGCTTTACATGAGTTTTACTTTAGTCATATCTGTAGAGAAAAAGAACTATGCAGGTGGAAACCACCTCTGGCAACCATGCTCATTTTGTCTGCTATTGCCCAGGTCTCGTAGGCCACAAAGAACCAGGGCTTTGATTGAATACAGAGAATGCACACGGCTCTTACAGTCAACGTATGCAATCAGCATATGCAATCAGCATGCATTTCCCTTAAAGTGCCCTTACTTTATGTGTGTACCACTTTAGTAATACTGGTAGGGGGGAAAAATACACAGATAGGAGCTAGCAGAAACTGATAAACCTGCACATGGGCAATTGTAGAGAAAATGTCTTGTGGCCCATAGGGTTTCTATATATGGGCCACAGGTTGCTCACCACTAGTTTAAGTGTTTGGAGTACTGTAATGTGTTTAGCTACTAGTGGCAGTTTTCAAGATTCCAAGTACTACTTTGTAAATACATAGAAAATTAATGCTGAGAGATTGCTAATTTCAGAAGAGAGTGGATTTCTCTCTCCAAGAAGTCAGCACAAATTACATTTTATGCTCATCCAAGTGAGGAACATAATTCCTGTAAGCACTTTTTTCAATGCAAAAATATTTAGAACTTTTAGCTTTTTAAAAAGTCCTCCCAAAGCAGATTCAATAGGTTTTAAGAGTATTCAATAAAACAAAAAATGTAAGTGATAATCTTTGTGTTTCATGCAAGTTTTCCTTAAGAACAGTACTTGATCAATACATTTCATAAACCATCTACCCACTTTCAATTATCCCTAAAGAAAATTAATTCTTGTAAGGTTGAAACCTTTTCTATTTATGTTTACATTTTAAATATCAAACAGTACATAGCCAGTCTTCACTACACAACAGCTTAAAGCAGTGGTTCTCAACCTTTCTGGCCCAGAACCCACCCTGATCAATGCAGACCTTTCTGCGGACCACCAGCCAACCACCCATGATGACAGAATGGGTTGGAGTTCGGGAAGGTCTAGGAGTGCAGATGGGGAAGCAAGATCTTGGCAGGAGAGGGATAAGTGGGGCACTTACCTGGCTCCATGCAACCTGCTGCTCCTTTTAGCCATGATTCTGGCTAATGTGAGCACCAGGGAAAGCCTCCAGGCAAGCTGTTTCCTGTGCTGCCATTTCCCCAGACAAAGGAAGGGAAGCAGCAGTGAACAGAGTTGCTTCCTGCTCCTATGAGCTGCATAGGACCTGAGAGGCTTTCCCCCCCCCCCCCCCCCCCGGAAGGGGGAGCCAGTACTGGTGCTCCAACCTTGGGGGGAAGGAGGGAGCACACCGTGGGGATGGAGCACCAGTGTGAACTCCCTGCTGCAGGGGTGTAGGGCGAGCCCCAAGCTCATGGCCCACATGCAAGATGGTTGTGGACCTCATACTTTGAGAGCCAATGGCTTAAGATATAACAAGTTTTGCCCCTAACTTGACTCCCATTCACACAAAAGATTACTAACTCAAGTGGTATTTTAAACACAAGTTATATTTTAAACATAAGGGATATGGTTTGAAGCTCAAGTGCAGTGGGGATCAACAGATCCTTACAACTCACTAGAGGCTAGTGCAACCGCACAGAGAATTCACTTGAGATAACCATTGCTGTTAATACAAGCTCATAGACAAGAGGCTGTCAAACAGCATGCATTAGTGGTGGCTGAACCTCTCTTTTCAACACAAACTAAGAGCATAATTACACTAAATGAAGTTTGGTATTTACAGTCCAGTGACACTTAACTAAATTCAAGTATGCTGAATGCTTCATACTGTTGCACGAAACAGGCTATTGGAACAAATGCCTGTTAGGCCTTGTATTACTTGCTGCTTTATTATGAAATAAGGTGTTGTACATGCTAAAAGATTCTTTACATTGTTAGCATAAGTTTTTACCTATTTACTCTACTGCATATTGATTAAGTGTGGTAAAAGAGATGTTACAAAGTAAATCCATAACACACAGGAGGAGTGCTGACCAGCACCCGGTGATTAAGGGATTAAACTCAGGTAGCTAGCAAGGGTGTTGGTGGGGAAGGAGAGGAAGATGAACGAAACCAGAGAGTGCGCTGAAATATGAATTGGATATAGATACCTTGCCTGCTTCTTTTGTGTGGGAGAGTTAAACCAGGAGTTGAGAGAAATCATTCTGTGTAACCCCAGACAGAACTACCATGCCTCCAATGAATTAGAGGCATGGAAGTGGACTGAACCAAGGGAAGATTGTGAATAAATAAAGGGAAAAAAGTTAATTTAGTCACACCCAGGTTATTTTTCTTTATTTTGTGGTTTGGTTTGGACTGGACTGCCCTGTATGAATCTATGCTTCCCCTTCCCCGTTTACCATCTAAGAATTGTTCCCAGAGATTTTTCCCTGTGTTTTAATTTGTTTTCCTTAGGTGCTCTGTAACATCTAGCAACCAAGTATCAGAGGGGTAGCCATGTTAGTCTGGAGCTGCAAAAGCAGCAAGGAGTCCTGTGGCACCTTATATACTAACAGATGTATTGAAGCATTAGCTTTCGTGGGCGAAGACCCACTTTGTCAGATGCATGTAGTGGAAATTTCTAGAGGCAGGTATAAATATGCAGACCAGAATAAGGCTAGAGATAAAGAGGTTAATTCAGTCAGGGAGGGTGTGACCAGACTTCGAAGAGAAACTGCTGAGCTACAGTTCATCTGCAAATTTGACACCATCAGTTTAGGGTTAGACAAAGACTGTGAATGGCTAGCCAACTACAAAAGCAGTTTCTCCTCTCTTGGCGTTCACACCTCCAGATCAACTGCTAGAAGTAGGCCTCATCCTGACTGAATTAAACTCGTTATCTCTAGCCTTATTCTGGCCTGCACATTTATACCTGCCTCTGGAACTTTCCACTACATGCACCTGCAAAGTGGGTCTTTGCCCACGAAAGCTTATGCTCCAATAAATCTGTTAGTCTATAAGGTGCCACAGGACTCCTTGTCGATCTAGCAACCAAGAATGCTTTATCAAGTATATCTTTTGTTGTGTAATAAAAAAATCACTTTAAGGTGATGATTTGATTATTGTGTACTGGAGAGTAACAGGGGTCTGTGTGTATATTTGCCTGCCTCAGACTGGGTGGTCAGTTACCAGAGATTGCAGCTGTTTTTTTCTCTTATTTTTTTTCCAAGCTCTTTTGGGTCAAGAGCATGTGACACCCTTGAGGGATAATTCATGTGTTTGCCCCTGGTTTTGGAGGGGGGGGGTGGAATCACTTGATGGTGATTTCACCTCCCCCCCCCCAAAAAAAACCCCCAAACAAACCAACCACTGAATCTGTGACTCTGGGGAAGTTTCTGTAACCAGATCCTGTAGTGGTAAGGTATATTTAAAGACTTTGCGGGCCCCCACCTTCTACTCTTGAAGTGCCAGAATGGGGAACAGACCTGACAAAACCTAACACATAGCTGAAATGAATGCACTCCATTCAAACTCACACAGACAGTCAATCCTCCCAGCTGTAGACCATAAATAATGGAGAAACAGGAACCAAATCAGTGGAGTTCAGTTTCCAAAACAGTACTTCAAGTGAACACCCAAAAACTTACTCAATATGTCAGTGTTTTGTATCTGCTACTGTTCTGTTCAACCTTACCTAACAACGTAAACACTACAGTGCATCTCTACACATGCCAATGAGTAGTTGTGTTCTTTCCTTCCCCACAAAATGAACCATCTTCCCTTGGAAATTCAGTTCAGGGGCCTCTACCTGCTTAAAATCTAAAGTTTAGATGATTTTCCATTAATTTAGAAGGACACTTGCATAAATTCACTGGGGACTATTATATCTGAAGCTTCTGCCTTAAAAGGTCCATCAAATGAGCCATTATATTTATCGGTTCAAAGAACACTTACATTATAGAGTCTGGTGCTGTTGAGGCTTAGAGTTAAAATGTAACTTTGTTGTGAATAAATTAAGAACATATTTAAAATGTCAACTAACCATTAAATTCACAGTCCTTAAAATGGAGGTCATTACATCGGCACTGCTATCAGGAAACTAATTTCTGCCATACTTTTTTCATGTATTAGATTGACGTATCAGAACTTTTTTTTTTTTTTAAAAATGCATACTATAGCTATTAATCCAAGAAGTTAACCTTAAGGTAAAAGTAGGACATTAGCTGCCACACAACAAGGACAATTTAAAAGGACAAGATGGCTGTACTCTTGATAACTAAAAACCCTAGATAAGCTTTCTATTAAATTATATTTTAAAAAGTGTTTAAAGATATTGGAAAATGCATAACAAACCCTTTGAGTTCTCTCTGTCCTACATTACTGTACATGTTTGGGGTCTGTCTTGTAGCCCTTTCATCTGGCTGGACCCAGACTTGCTACAGTTGAACCAGCATCCTTCCTATGAACTCTGAGTCATGGGAAAGGTCATTTCCACCAGGGTCGGTTCTTGCAGATTTTAATGTTAAATCTCAACAAACAAGACCAAAACCTCCAAGTCTGTCCCTCAAGCAAGAAGTTCCCAATTTTTACCTCACAGCCTTTGTGATAACAGGATTTCTCAGGCCTTGTCTACACTTACAAGTTGTCGTCCCCAAAAAACATTTTTTGGCAACAAAACCCAGAGCGTTCACATTGCGACACGACAAAAGCACCCAGTTTTGGTGACAAAAACTTATACCTCTACACAAGACTTTTGTCTCTCCCTTTGCCTTTACTGTTGACAGTCATGTAGTGTATACTACAGTAGTCTTTT